TATGTCCCCACTGGATGCAACAAATGCCTGGTTTGTAATGGGTTTTATTGGTTTTGTGTTGAGTGGCGTAACATTTCCGTCACACGAGGCATTCGGCCAATCACAATGCACTGGATAGCTGGCCAATCAGATGACCCCTTTAAGTGACACTGACCTGGAGTCATATTTTGTATATTGATTCACTTCAAAGGCAATGTGATTAGTGGTGTTTAAAGTGTCTTCAACATGAAAAAAATGTTGGACCTAGCCAAGCTATAAGACACAAAATGCAATATTTAAGATAAAAATAAACCTTGTAGAACCTGTGAATAAAGTTTAAGAACACTGACTGATTGATTTTCTTCAATTTATTATTCACAAACATATAAAGTTAATGTTTTGCTTAAAATCTTAAGTATTCAGTTCAACTTTATTCAAAATGATTTTTCTGAGGCAATGTAACAAAGTCAGCTAGATGGTCTTCCCAGCTAATACATTTAGTTTTAAATGTATCAGCAATTTCACCCATGTTATTATTTATGCAGTGTTTTCTCTGTGCATGAAGAGATGCCCTATTTTGAAGCTTTATTTTTGCACTTTTTTGACTGGCATGTTTTGTTGAAAGAGATCAAATGGGTGCTGTGTGGTGTCTTTTGCTGACCTGAGATCCCATCGTCCCTCAAAATGACAGCACAACCTTTTCAGAACCCTTAGAGTCAGCAGTTAACACGACAGGAACAAGCATTTCTCCCCCCACACACACACCACAGCAGCCCTTTTCAAACGGACACATTATAAAGTAAAAAAAAAAAATGCCGTAAAAAATGCAGCAAAAATGATTTTATATTCCTTTTGGATAATTTCATCTAAATAAATGATTCAACAGGTATATTCATTTAATAACAATCCATATGTTTTGTTTATGTCTAGCTGACAAATTTGTGGGGTGGTGGTTGTCTAATGCTTATGCAATATGCATCTTGTTCTGTTGCAATTTTGTTTGGCTTTTTCTTTTAATTATACATTAGGTTTGGGATTTGAATCTATTTTCCTTTGATAATTAAATATTGTGCCACTGAACCATTGCTGAGATCTAAGATTCCTGAGATCTTTTTTTTTTTGTAAGCTGGAGAATCGCATTTTGTTCTAGGCAGACGACAGCTCACCTTTAGAAAACCTGTGCAACTGGTAGAAATAATAGAGATGGGAGGAGAAGGAGAGAAACCAGTATGCCGTCATCTCCCATCGAGGTAGAGATACCAGCTCCCATTGTGGAGTCATGAAAGCTGAACCTGCCGGTTAAGAAGATACACACTAATTGGTTAGTCTTCAAACCTGCAATGGGTCAGTTGTCACTACATTTGGAGCGTTCCTGTTCTGCACACAACTTGATTTCCAAAATTAAGCAGCATAAGTAAAGAAACTGGTCTAAAGGTAAGCTTAAACTGTATTTCAGAGGATATTACCAAAGCTGTTTCATAGATAACAATCATGCATATTCAAATTTACAGATTATTAACATTTCAAAGATATGCCATTCTCTGTAATACGAATAAAACACAATAAATACGTTTTATGAATTACTTTATCACCATTTCACAACGCATTCTACAAAATACTTGATTACGTATACATATATATGTATGTATCAAGGAGATTGTGGTCTGTTTTCATGGCAATCAATTTCAATAGTTCAATCGGGATGTGAAGTGCAAGATTTTTTTATTTGCTCAAACAGTCATTCACATCTTTAAACATATGAAATGATTTTTTTTTTACACAAGCTTCCTCATTGCATTATCATATTGCAACAATTCCCGCACTATAATATTTGCATATTTGTTTCAGTTACTCATAAACCAACAGAAAAACTCTCGTGCCAGCCAAACACTGCCGCGAAGCTCCGCCCTATGCTTCCGAGAGTTGCCACACCTCTACAACCTGATTGGCTAACCGGATCACTACGTCCTATCACAGTATTTTAACCCCAAGAGTGCCTTAGTTACTTTTGGCAGGCATTTTGCTGCAAACTACGGTAAGGTGTAGCTTTATAATTGATCACAAATACCTTCACTTCTCGTTACGCTGGAAGGCCGTTGTTTTGGCTTTAATGAACAATGCCTCAGTACAATGCAGTGTATAACTAGTTCAGAAAAGGTTATCTTAGGTTAGGAACAAATGTAAACAAAACGCCCATAGTATGATAATAATTATTTACCGGTGAAAAGGGGAAACCAATAGATAACACACATTTAAATACACATCATCGTTTTCTCTCAGTACAAACTCTGCCACAGGGCAGCACATTCTGCTGAGAGGCCCAAAAGAACAGAGACTTCCTGAAGGTGTGTGTAGGGAACTAAAGTCTTTGCCTATGGTGCAATGCAGTTTATTCCCACACAGAAAGAGAGAGAGAGAGAGAGAGGGCAGTACATTAGACTACCAATTCATGGGCTGCGTTTTGATCCAGGAGAGGGTTCCAGATATCTATCTATCTATCTATCCGAACTGCCCCTCCTCCACTAGGGGGCAGCAATAGTTTGGGGTAGTTGAGAACAACATCCAGAGCGTGTCGCATTTATGATCCAGTTTTAGAAACCGAAAAGTGAAACCGTTTAATGCAAACGTAATTATAAATTAATCACTTTACCATGCGACAGAAAGACGTGATAATATGCAACATATGTGGCTGCTTTGAAACGATTTATTTTCACACAGAATATGTAAACAGAACCACATTTACGCGTCTTAATCTGAAACCATTGAAACTCTTTAAAGTTTCCGATGATTGTGTAATAAGTTCACTACGACCGTACAATCCAATTTTATGTAACATCCAAAACACCCAATCAATAAAGAAACTTGCAGCGTTGGAATCGATTGTGAAAGCCAAAGTTCTTGTGATTCAATCATGATATGGTTTGTCCATAATGAAACCGATTTAGGGGGCGGTTTGTAGTGAGCCTTTCTTCAGGCGAGCGCTTTGTCAACAAGTTTCCTCCTCCCTCTCTCTCTTCTGAGGAATAATCACGGACTGAGGAAACTTGCGCAAACTTCACCCCAGAGACTGAGTGGAATAATGGCTGGACGTGTGAGCATACGTTTGCTGAATTCTTTGGTCAGGGGAAATGTTATCTTTAGGAACAAGAAATGTTTGCGCAAAGGTGTTGTGTTGATCTCACGGTGTCACGCGAGGTCTCTGTCCAGCAGCAGCATCAGCGCGACTCAACCGGACCTCAGCTCGCATCTCGCTGGAAAGACCTATGCAGATTTATATGAACTGTCAGTTAGAGATCCAGAAACTTTCTGGGGATCCATCGCCAAGGAAAGGCTGGCATGGACCAAACTTTTCGATCAAGTGACAGACTGCGATCTCTCCAGCGGGGAAATCAACTGGTTTCTTGGAGGGCAACTGAACGTCTCTGGTGAGTGTCACACCTTTCTTTACATTGTCGATAAACCTCCACTGGCCAATATGCTATAGAAAAGATTTGTATCCATCAGAACACAAGGTTACGAGTGTATTTTAACGTGATTGATACGGTAATACTAACATTTTCACATACTACTTTATAAATGCATAAAGAAAAACTTTCTTTATTGTCAACAGTAAGCATAGTAGTAATTTCCTCTTACAATGATTGACAGTGAACTGTTTGGATGTACACGTGGCAAAGGATCCAGACAGAGTGGCCTTGATTTGGGAGAAAGATGAACCTGGCACAGAAGAAAGGATCACATACAGGTACATTTGTAGATCCTGAGAAATTCACATGTGGCTCTTTACCCCACCCCCTGTACATTTTCAACTCACAGCAAGCAGTTTTAACATGTGTCTCTTTAAACTAACCAGTATCTACTTTTATGATGCTTTTACTTGTTTTAGATTTGCCTGTATATAATTTATTCCAATAGTGACTGGCAATCAATTAGTCACTACTGCCTATTGATTACAAACTTGTTGCCATTGCCAATCAGTGGCGGCTCGTGGGTTTTAAAATAGAGGAGGCACACTAATTGTATTGGTCTGGGATCCCTGCCGATTATTATTATTATTATTAATATTATTATATGCTTAACCACTTTAAAATGGCTTTTTTGTTGCTTTTAGTCAGAAAACGTAAAGAAAACGACATACATACAGCAAGATAATATAATTTCACTTACCTGGCCTATCACTTGAAGCAAACATCCATCCAGTGTTCGAACTATACCGTGGACTTTGGGGGAGCCCACTTGTTTTTTTTTTATT